TATTTATATATTTATATATTTTATATATATGTATATACATATATAAATATATGCACACACATATATCTAGTTTATATATGTCTCTTCTGATATATGTCTGCATATATTTATATACATATGAATATATGCATACGAAATATTTACACACCCATTCGCAAAATTTGATCTATCGTCATTTTTCTCTTATAGATTAAAAAGAGTATATCCTTAATGATTCTTTGGCAACTCGGTCTGTCGGCTGGTCGACTTTATATTTATATGTATATTTATTTATGTATATATGTATAATATTTATACGTAATGTGAATGGGTGATATATACAAAAATGGAATAGCATACACTTACAAGATGGACAAGATAAACGCAATCGATCCGAGCCGGCGACGTGCAAAATCAGCAAAAACTCTTCTTCTTGTTTATGCTGGCTATTTTTTCACTGTCCTTAGCTAATGTAAGACGGATTAGCTTTTTCATTTTCTCGACTCTTTTCGTTTGTTTTCGTTCCTATTCATTCATTATTTAATTTCGTTTAATTTAATTCAATTTAGTATAGTTTAGTTTAATTTAGATTAATTTAGTTTAGTTTAGTTTAGTTTAGTTATATTATCCTAGATTCACGTGGACATATTTACACGAATGTACGTTCGATTATCCCCCGAGGCTGATCTTGTATACTCGAGCGGTCAGCTTTCCCGTTGTGCGAGGATCTTTCCAATCGGACAGCTCCTTCTGGTGTCATCTGAATGACACAACAAACAAATATAATAAATATTCTCTTAAACTCTTAACTGAATTCGTACGATCGAAATAACTTTTTAATCAATAGAAGTATCTTGAAGAAAACGTAGAATACACGACACACTTCCATAGTCATAAAAATGGCCATCCGATCTTCTTTTTAATAGCAATTCGAGGGGGTCTATATTGTCGAAGAATAGTATATCGTGCGTTTGATAATTTGACGCGGAGTGCACAAGGAAAGGGAGATAAATCGAAATAAAATAAAGAGAAACCAGTGCGAAAGAGAGTGAGTGAAAGAGAGAGAGAGAGAGAGAGAGAAGTAACATAATTAAGGAAGAGGTGCAGTGATTGAATGTTGGAACGCGACGATAATACTTACGAGGGACGAAATAGACTTCCGGTTATTGGGACGATACTGTCGATTACAGCGGTTCTGAACGACCTGAGGCGACGCTGCAACCGAAGATAGGCCGACATCATTGCGGTAATATTTTGCAGCTCGCCTCCATACCCTCAGGTGGCACGCGCATACTGCCGTTTGTGATGTAACCGTTTGCATCTACCGTCACCGAAACACCCGGTGGATGATTGTGATAGCTAACATTCCTTTGGCTAACCACAATGTTCTTCTCGGATATGCCATGATCGTTGCTACCATGAGCGGCCAGACAAGTCTCACTTCCACGATTGCTCGACGAAGATTCGATCGGATGGTCCACCCTTATGGGGATTGTGTAGTCAGACAGGTACTCGGTGCTCACCTCCACCGTCGCGTATTCTCGTATCATTGGTGGTGCTGACTTCATCGGATAATCCATTGCCATGTGCTGCATCGACGAAGCCGACCTAATCTCGTTCGGATCGTTACTACTCATCGTTGCCACGTGTCCGTTCGCCATCGCGTACAGGTCCGGTTCACCGCGTACTTTTGACGACAGCATTGATTCCAAACATTGGTAAAGTAGCACATAGTCCTCCTAATATTCAAGTACTTTCTTTAGTAATGATTTCATTCGATATAAACGAACTAGGATTTGTTTTATTTACCTTAGATCGAAATACACCTGGTCTCTTCATATATAACAATTTGGCAAACATGTAAATATCTGCCGATTGTTCGAACTCAAGTTGCTTGTTCAAAGTTGTTAGGAGAACGAAAAGAGCAGCTTCGACGCCACCGTACCTAGTACAAATGATTATGATAGATTTCAAATGAAATGTTCAAGAGATTTTAATGAAATATTCGATCAGTGTAGTCACCTATCCATAACGACGATTGGACCATTCTGATAATCTCTATGGAAGTCTTGTATCACACTGACAAATACTTTGGGGTTATTATTGTGAGGCCATAAACCAACTTGATTGAGTGGTCCTTGAACGATTCTTGCACTTAATTCGTAATCGTCCTGTAAAGATCTAACGGCTACCTCGCGTAGAATGATTCCATTGACTGTTTCTTTAATACCACATAATCGTACTCGAAATGTTTCAGATTCCAAATCCTTTCCTTCCGTTGGCCAGAACTCAGGATATTCCTATATATAAGAATTTTATTAAATATTGAAAAATGTATTTTGTCCTTGTAAATAATAATTATGAATCATGATGAATCTCAAGTACCTCATCGCATTGAGTTAACATTACGATAGTTTGAGCATTGTGGTCCCACATCATTTGCCAAAACTCCATTATGGTGTTCTCCATTGGATGTTGAGTTATAATAAATTCACGATTTCTTTGGAATCCTATCAATGAATTTTAAATGAGTGTTTTTCCAATATAAATGTAGACATACAAGAAAATTAAAAGTAAAAAACAAAAAGTTTTTTTACCAGAGAACCACGTTGCATTTATGTAGTCACTTCCATCAACACCAGGCTTTGGAGTTAAATGTACACGAGCATTTTCGATAGGTACAATCTCCATATTACGATTTTTATGAATATTAAATGATTTTGTCGCTGACACGAGATTAAAGTCCTTTGGTTTCCAGGACGTTACGAGCTATTTAAAAAAAAAAAAAAACAAAGAGAAAAACATAATAATCAATAAGTTTAATAAGAAACAGTGCAATTAAAGAGATTAATTATCGGTAATTATCATAATAATTACTTTATATTGAGAATCTAAGTTATTCCAGGCGTCTGTCTTATTGTTGGACGGACATAGCATGTCTTGAATATGTTGCATCAAATTATTAGCTTCTATATTGGTCTCTCCACTTTCGATAGCTTCTTGCAAAGCATCATGAATGAAAATGTACTGTTCCTCGGTTTGAACTAAAAAGTTTCTCTGCGTTCTAATGTGTTTTAGAAATCCAAATACATTGATTTCGTTTTTGCTCTTTGCCTGCTTCAGCATTGCATCGATCACAATGTAGGTCCCAGTACGTCCAACACCGGCACTAATAATAATAAGAATAATATTATTATATAATATTATATTGACAAATGATCATTTTATGTAATTACCTGCAATGAACCACTATTGGACCAGCGTCAGGTGGATTAGCATTGGAAGATTTACGAATGAAACTGAGAACAGGTAGAGGATGATCAGGAACACCATGATCAGGCCAACCAGTATAATGATACTGCCATATCGTACGTTCTCCCATATTGGTCCCATTCTTCTTCTTCTTAATCTGCTTAAAATTTCATAACGTTCGTCTTATTAAGTATCGGCATATTTTATTTAACCCGATAATAAGAAATTATTCTTTTTTAACAATTATTATAAACATATACCTTGAGATGTCGAATTTGAAGAGTACGAATAGTATAAGTTGCCATGATGTCTTCCTTGACTAAAGTAACTTGAATATAACCATAAGTTTCAGTGCCTTCTTTCGGCCAGTACATATCACATTTTCTCTGTAAATATACAAAATAATTTTCATTTAACACGTTCGTCGGCCAATTTTATTCAGTCATGTAATTAAGCTATTGTGTGTCATCCAAATACGGGTGACGGGGCGACGAACGTGTTAAAAAGTAATCAAAAGATTATTACAATAAAATCAGAAAGTAACTTACACGACCACGCTCGACGAGATTAGTGATCATCACAACGATCGATACACGTTGTTCCCAAACCATTCGCCAGAAACCATCGAAGGTCGGTGGCAATGGTCCTTGAGTGCCAATGTAAGCTCGTGTACGTTGCCATCCATCGATGTAATTCGCGTTGACGTAATCTTGTCCTTTTTTAGGTGGTCCTCCGCCGCACGATAATAATTGTACACGCGTGTGATCGTCTGCAAAACGTGACCATAAATTTTGTGACATCTGTCATTTCGAAAAATTTAATACTTATTGTTAAAGAAAAACCAAAAAACAAAAAAAAGAATAAAATAAAATAAAAAGAGAGAAGCATATAGAAATAAAAAGATGAGACATTATAGTGTCGCAATAAGTGTCATTAAGATCGAACGTTATTGTTTGTTTCGACGTAGTTAGAACGAAGTTAATATCGCGGAATGTGACTAATACACATAGGTAATTTTATCGTTCCACGAAAACAAGTGGACGGTGTCCGGCTCGGTGGTGGAGGATCTGTGACCCAGTTGTCGACAGACAGGTCACTCACATCAAAAGCAATGACGAGAGCTGCTCGTTAATCCGATAATATTGTGAATGGTCGAAGCGAATTTACAGTATACTTCGAGTCACATGTACAAAGTGACTTACGAGAAATGAAGTAACGAAACATCTGTATTGACTTTGAGAGAATAAAGAAAAATTATATCATTCCGATAAATAAATGATATGAATAATTTAACTTTATATAATAAGAATTGCCATGATTTAGCATTTTAGATGAAACACATTTCTTTTTTTGTTCTCGTTTCATTTATATTTTCTCATTTATATTTTCTCATTTAATAAATACTAATGGAACTCGAGAATTTTTTTGTTGCCTGACTCACTCTGTATAAACGTTTATATACGTATAAATGTTTTAAGTGCGACACTCGTCGAAACAAAAAGTAAATTGCGTTCGTTCATACGATATCATACTACTCCTCTTTCTACTCTTTTACTTCAAAGAAGGACAAACCAATCTAGAAGGATAATCGTATCAATTGTAAACAGGAGATAAAAAAAAGAAATAGAGAATAAATATTTACATGCGAGTATGTTGAGATATCGATTCTTCGCCTTATTTTCAGCGAATTGCGAGTTCTCGACGGTGTAACCTCCACTCTCGGATTGTATAATTTCGTATTCTTTGCTAAAACCGATATCACCGTCGGCATGCAGCCTGGCGACATGTTGAACGAATTGTTGAACGCTTACGGCGGTCCTTTCGCCATCTTGTTCACTGTTTTCCCATTCTTGGAGAGTCGGCACGTTTCGTGGCGGATAATCCAGGTAATAATAGGCCGTGTGAAAGCATTTTCTGAAAATCGGTCTGTGGAAACGTATTCGATGAATATTTTATTGAATCGAACATTCAATACAAAAAATATTCTTTTTAAAATCGTTAAATAAAATTATGGTATATATTTGTTATATAAAAAGAAAAAAAAAAGAATAATTTATTACGATAAATATATCTCCTTGTTAAAGAGGATACCCTGAGAAAAGAAAAAAAGTATCTACCTAATTCTCTTCTTTCCAATTTTTACTCATTGTAGGTCGGGCAGGAAGAAGCAATTAAAGAATAAGACTACTAATTGTCTCTAACATACGTAATTGTTAAATTATTATCAAAATTATCTTAACTTTTTTTTACAAATATATTTTTATACTTTCTTCTGTTTTTTTTTTTAAATATAATATTTATTCGTCGAATTAACGAATAAAATAAAAAATAAATAGATACGAGAAAGATATCTAAAGTCTCAGAGATACGTAACGTAAGTATAAAACATTATCAGTCGTTCTTTTTTTCTAAATCAATATCGATCGTTCAATAAATCGATTTATCTTCGAGGACGCAATCTACCTCTCAACGAGAATTTGTTATTCGTGATAGGTGAAAATAATGTTCCTCGCGAAGAGAACTCAGGTTACGGGAAGGAAAGGTTAATGATCTTAACTCTCGTCCGGCGCGAGTTAGTACAACGCGTATCTGTGACATCTCGATTTTCGTGGGAAACAGGCATCGCCGTTTATACGCTCTCCGATGAATCGCATAAGTCTCATCGACTTAATTTATACGATCGGAATTAAAACTCGTGTCGCATACTTACGGCGCATGTATATACGTAACCGATATTACGACGTTACGTCACTTTTAAAATTAATAAAGACAACAAAAATCAAGAACAATTATAAAATTATTATTTTATTCTCCTCTTTACTTTCGATATACGCTGTATAAGCGTATAAAAATTAATCTCCCTTAAAAATTCATATATCTAATCGACAAAATTCTAACTTTTTATTAATATATAATTTGTAATATTATAGAAATGACAGGGGGGAAAAAAAAATAAAAAAAAAGAAGAAAGATAAAACTTACAGATCAAGAATTTTCTTCATTTCGTTTTGTAGTTTTTCCAAGGGTCCATTGCAAAGACACACGCGAACAAGTTATTAAATCTGATCACGATTTAAATATAAGTCACATTTGTGAAGAAAAAAAATAAAAGTCAAGAACAAAATGAAAGAGAACTCGAAGAATTAAAAAGAGGGAAGACTTAGGGTGTCTCAAGATTTACATACGTCCCTGACCCGAAATTGATCCCTATTTTGAATATAATCCTTGGGACATCATCCTTGATCATCTCGTCGTGTCTATATAATATATATATTATACATTTACATACGATCTCCCTTAATTTTATTTAGAAAACGTGATGACTATAATCGGCACTATTAGGAAGACGCTATACACATGACGCTATTTTCATGTTTTCTTCTTTTGCCTTTTTTGTTTTTTTAATATAATCTGAAGTTTCTCATTAAAAGATATTACTCGCGCGAATACGACGACACTTATTGACTGCACGAAGAAGAAGAAACCTCAGTATATACACGTCGTTCTAGCTCTGGCCGTTATCACCAGCGATAAGAAGATAGGCTGAGTGTGAGAGACAACGTTATACAAAGACAGAGAAAGAAAGAAAGAAAGAGAGAGACATTAAAAGTCAAAAAATAGGGAATAGAAAAATGAGAGAGAAAAGATAAAATGACAGCTTTTAATGTTAATAACATTACGAAAATCGTTAACCGTCCTCTTGAACATTTTCCTTACACCATAAAAAAACGATTAGTTCGTGTGTTATGTATAATGAAAAACGGTGAATCGAGCCGACCACGACGAATGCTTCGAAGAGACTGAAAGAGAACGTTCCTCGCATATACACACGCGTACGAGATCACGCGCATGATCTTTCCCGACTCCCAGCGTTTCTCGCAACACAGCAACATATATTTACGAATTTGATCGCTGAAGGCTATGTTTCTCGTGTGATTTTTAAATTTACATTTGACGATACATATATAATACATGTGTGTGTATATATTTTCGCAAAGTATTTTTAATACTCGAGATTTTTATTTATTTTTCTTTTTCTATTTTTTCATTTTTGTGTACTTACTAGCAAATCTCTCTTACCCAAAACTAAGATCTATCTCGAAAACATTGAAGAAATATATATTTTATTATTTTGTTTTTTTCTTTAGAAATGTAAAACATGGTAGACCCAATGTGTATTAATACAAATATGTGAATAATTATTAATAAGATGTGTAAATATTATATAAAATTATTCTTACTTCCAGAGAACGAAGGCTGTTATTGCTAGCATGACGGCAAAGCAAGCACAAACCATGCCAGCTATCACACCAGCGCTGAGATCCTTGCTGCTACGACGTTTCAACGGTGGAACCTTATCGCAGTCGTGAGTAACCAAAACGTTTCGTGGTGCAGAACTTTCTCCTTGTATGATCAGTCGATCATTAATAGTACTTTTCGTTGCTCCACGTACGATAAATTCGTAGACCGTATTCATTGTTAAATTAGGTATAATCATCTGAAGAAACAAATATTTCTTTTCAATTTTAGTATTTAGCATTTAGAATTGATTTAAAAGCTCGTATTTTTTCATAGAAATTGGATTAAATTTTTCTTACGCCACTTTCAAGATGATTCTTATCGGCCGTTAATTCGATTTCTTCGTAATATTTATTAGTTTCCTGACGATAATTGATGTAATAATAATCGATGGAACTGCAAAAGTGCGCTGGTCTTGCCCATTGGATATAAACTGAATTGTACGATTGACACGTCAAATTTAAAATTTGTGGCTCGCTTGGTCCAGCAATGTCAGTCCTACGAAATATATGTTCGGATGGTTCACCTTCGTGTTTCCACGTATAAGCTTTCACCCATATATCGTAGACGATGTAAGGCTCTGAAGTAGTGAATAGATAATAATATTTTGTTATTATTAAATTTCAATCACTCGTATCTTTATCGGCTAGTATATTTTATACTTTTCTGAAGATTAGTACTAATACCGAGATAACATGTATCACACCTCTTATCGTGTCTATTCGTATTAATAATCGTTTTATATTTTCTTATCTCTATATTTCGCTTATTAACGAATGATCTATAGGTTCAATTGAACGATACTCACTTAAATTTTTTAATACGAACTCGACGTTGGACCCACCACTGTTGTCGTACATCTTGTGCATTTGAACATCGGTGTAATTGGAATGCATATAATAAACACGGTAGCCGGTTATGACGCCGTTGGCACATTCTGGCTCGGACCATGACAGCTCTATGGTTGTCGACGTTATTCCACGCGACGTGAGATTCTGGGGTTTCGTTGGCACTGAAACAAAATTTACAAGAAAATTATATAGTGAGACGAGTTGGACACCGATGACCAAATAAATTTCACTTGAGCTGATGTACGATGATATTTTAAACGTCATGAACTTGTATTCGTTAGTAAAGAATTATTTTCACTTTTTAGTATTCTCGTAAAAAAGAATGAAAGAAGAAAAAGAAAAAGAAAGAATACGAAACATTTCGTTAAGTCTTTTCCGGCAACTCTCCTTCCTTCTACTTCTACTTCTACTTCTACTTCTTCTTCTACTACTTCTTCTTCTTCTACTACTTCTTCTTCTTCTTCTTCTTCTTCTCGCCATTTTCTAAGGTGGTCTTCCAATCTTCCACATACAAAAGCAAGTGCGAAGTTCCGACGACCGAAGACTGAATAATTAATAACGGCCTCGAGTGTCTTCTCAGACCCCTCGCGCCGACAAGCAACTAGACGCTATTCATTTTGGTACATGGAACCAGGAATGAGAAGCCTTTAAGACTGGGAATACATTCTCCGTGCGGAAAAAAGCTTTCCGCGTTATTTATCAGTTTTAAGCTTACCTACCACCAGAAGAGAAAAAGAAAGAGAACAAAATTGACGGTAGGTAAATTAAACGGAAAAATAATGTGTATCTGTACATATTCTTAACTTTTTTTCAGAAACCTTTCTTCATAATTAACATTATCTCAACAAAATATTATATTATATCTCATTCAAAGGAATATAATCCGTGAAATATACACATAGTATATTTTCTTAGCTCCTTTTGGAAAAATACCTTTCTTCGTAATTAAACCCCAGTGTTTCGACAAAATATTTTTTTGTAAAGAAACATTTTTTTTCTTTTTTAAATGATTCCATACAATGTATCTTACATTTCTAAAAGACAAAAACGATGATGACAAATACGACAAAATCGATATTTCGAGTCAGAATCGGCACCTTCGGTGCTTCGGCGTAATGTGATCTTTGTCGCGAAGAAAAAGAAAGAAGAAAAAAAAAAGATATAAAAAGAGAGAAAAAAGAAAATAAATGTTCAAGGTTGATAGCCGATGCTTTTAAACTAATTAACTGTGCAAATTGATTCGAGCTCCCGCAAATGCTCGCTATATAATACCTAACCGAATATCGAATGAACACACTTATTTACTTAAATAAACTCGCGCCTACATTTTTTAACATTGTTTTTGCTATACGTATTTATTATTTCCGTATGGTTGCTCGAGCGGGTCGAATAAGACTAATATCGAAGAAAATAAAAAACACAAAAGCTAACCAAGGAAACAGAAAGAAAGAAAATGACGTATCGATTTACTTCAATTATAGGTACGAGTAGTGCTTCGTCTCGGTTTTCTCTGTTCTACGAGTATCACGTCGATTCCGTCGACTCGTTTTATTCGAACACGGAACATTAAAAAACGCATTTATTGTCATTGAAGATAATCATCGATGATTGACATCAAAGATTTCGTCTATTATTATTACAATTATTTATTAATACTTGCAAAATTGCAAACAATTCATTGCAGATAGATATATAAAAGTTATTTCTAATTGTTATATATATTTAAATTATTGCAAAATGAAGTTACTCACATAATAAAGATCTAAAAATAATTATTTCAAATAATAATAAAATAATAATAATAATAAAATAATTTTATCTCTCTAACATAAAATTTTCTTGACATATGTAAGTCATGTGAAACAAAAAAAAACAGAAATAAAAACAAATAAACAAAGATAAGAACCGAGCGAAAGGTTTTAAGATAAACGTTGTCTATTTTTATTCATCATTTTTACCTCTTTCTCTCACAAAATGTCAATGAAACAGTTTCCATTCTCGTCTCTCTCTCACAGAATCAGTTAATAATACAGAAGGAGGCAAAGTATTATGCTCGGATTCGCTCGTCCGAACGAAGAAACGAAGAAGTCAAAGGAACACAACTCGCAGACTCAACGATCGGGCATAACCTTTGCGAGCTGCAACCGGATGATGTCATGCTGAGTCTCCGCACGCACTACGGGTCGGGGACAGGGGGAGGGATCCGTACTCGTATTACGGACGAGGTGAAAAATGAATGAGATTACGGATGGCGAGGCATAGTCAAGGTCAATAGTCCTGCTGCAACTCATCATACGTTGCATATACGTACATATATTTCATCAAACACGGACTTGAAGGAGTGTTTGTTCTTTTTTTCTTTTCTTTTCTAGTTGTCTTTTCTCGTTTCTCAAATGACGTCATGTTGAAGATCAAGAGAGATAAGAAATTCAAGAACAACAATAAAAAAAGAAAAAGTACAATAATTTCAATGGAAATAGATAGATAGATAGATGGATGGAGATATATATAGGTATACGATGCGCTTTGAAGATTATTGAAATATTTTCCAAGATAGAAAAAAAAAAAGAAGGAGTTAAAGACTCGATAATCACCTATAAATTTATGAAAAGAACAAAAAGGAAAAAGAAAAAAAAAGAAAGAAAAAGACTGAAGTGTTTGATCTATTAGAAGCAACAGGCTCGTTGAATTCTCGATTCGTAGGAAGAGCCATTAAAGACCATATATACGAGACTATATAATCGAGGTTACTATGTTTCTCGTGTGTTCGTTACACTCGAACGAGCATGGAATATTTGATCCAATCGAATTATGCAAAACGAATTAGTTCCTCCTTAGTTGTTTTTCTCATCGATTAAGATATATCTTAGAAAGTTTCTTATCCAATTCGGTGAAAGTTAGAATGATTTTCCGGTATATTCGTATAATTTCTATCATGTCAGATCAACGAGTCTGTGTCCTCCCGTAAAGGAAATCACGAGAACGCGTTGAGATGTTTTCTAGAAGATCGTTTTTCTGTCGTTTGACATCCTTACTACACGACCGGCTTACTAACCTCTCTCTCTCTGTGTGTCTTTGCTTAGCGGTTCTGGATCGGGTGCATAAAGTCTCGCGAGAGAAAGCGTCGTGGAAGAAATCATCGTGGAAGAAATCATCGTGGTTATCTTCGGGAGAAAAGAATGAGACAAAAAAAAAAAGAAAAGAATAGCTTACCATTATTCCCGACTATGGTGAATGCACCTAAATTGATGAATAAATATTCGTATAAGAGCGAGGATAGAAAATTTCAAAGAAAAGAAAAAAGGAAAGAAAAGATAAATAACTTATCAATCCTGTGTGTTTGAAAAATGTATATCTCATACAATAATAATTAAAATATCCAAATAATGGATGGGATTAAATAAATACACGGATATATTATTTAAGAATCAAATAAAAAATAAGAACAAAATTGGAAGGAAAGTATACGAGTGTGAGATAGTTGAAGTTAGAAAAATAAATTGTTGGAAAAACTAACACAAGAAATGTCTATATAGATAGGTAGAAAATGATTTTCTTTGTTACTTCTTCTCTATTTCTACTTCTGTGAAATTGTCGAAGGCTAGAAGCTTCCGTTTAATCAGTCGAAGTAATCGCGATGGCTTGAGCGAGCGAGAGAGAAGAACGGTAAGGTATATAAGACGGAGATAAAGCTACCGGTTCGCCTCGTTCCGTACTAATCATTCCTTCCAAATGACCGTGTTCAGGGGAAAACTGACCTGGTAAAAGGGAGAGATGTTATCGTTGCGCTGAGCCGTCACGGAATGGCTTTTAAACGAGGCAAGGTAAAGGATAAAGATAGAGAAAGAAAGAGAGAGAGAGAGAGAGAGAGAGAGAGTGAGAGAGAGAGAAGGAAAGATGCATTTCACAAACCGGCCTGGAATGTCAAAATGGGTACTGAAAGACCCTCGAGAAATGTATTATTGTTTTCCGTTTTTAACATTTAATCGTACTCTTCGTGTTAATGTATATGTACCGTCTATATATGCATATGTGTGTGTCTGTTACTAGTGGTTGAAGCAAGTTGAAGTGCTTCGAAGTAGGCGAAAGAGCCTTTATTTGGATCGGCTTGCAGTGAGTAACGGTTTGCGAGTGAAAGGAACAGTTGATAAGAAATGGAGGTGTATGTACCTGCTTCTCGATCTGTAAAGGGAGTAAGAGAGAAAAAAAGAAAGAGGGAGAGTAAAAGAGGGTATTATGTTCTCAACGCAACTATAATCGAACTACATACCGATCGTTAGTTTTTTTTTTTATTTTAAACCCTATTTTTTACTAATTCATAATAACAGATTGCTTTAAATAGAATATGAAATGAATGCGAAATTATTTTTATCCGTGAATGATTATCCTTCGTTTTGGAAACTTAATTACGTACATGTATGTTGTATGCGTATCGTTGACTATCCTTGCTCGATACGATTACCAAGGTTAACTTTTTAAAACTCATGGGAATCAACCGATAGAGTAATCGACCTTCAAACTAGATCGTAAAAGTAGAATTCGTACGAATTTCTTGTCAAACGATAACGTGATTCGAATGTTTAGAGCAAAGGTTACTTTTAGAGATCTAACCTGTGTTTAAATATTAGATAACTTATCTGTGTACATTAGAATTCACTTTGTCTTATCAATAATATCGAAACATTTTTGAACTATTTGAAATGTATTTTATAAAAATGAAAATAAGAAATAGAAAATACGAAAATACATCTTCGAAAAAAACAGACAATTCTTGTTAAAAAGGAAAAGACGTTGAGAAAATTACAAGATAAACGAGATACCTCTCGGTATCATTAGACCGCCACAAACAAAACTAACAAGCTGCATTTTCTTCTATCGTAAAGGGACAATGGAAAATATATAGTATAGAACGTTGGTGAATTACGTGAAGAGAAGACGGTATATAAGAGACTCTTTCGTCATTATAAAAGATTTTTAATATTAATAAAATATTTATGAGGCTTTACGTAAGATGAAACGCGTAACGTGCATTTGTTATAGAAAAAGAATAGAAAGAATATAAGAAAAATTAAAAAAATTTATATATAAAAAAGAGAAAATAGTAATGATAAAGGAGAAGAGAAGAAAAAGAATAAAAAGAAGAAGAAGAAGACGAAAAAGA